GGGGCCACCCTCCCGGATTTGTTGCTACATTATTGAAGGTATACTGCTAATGTGTTAACCATATTGTATGGCGGAACCTGCAATTGATTAGTGGAAACCGCACCTAAACGAAGGGGTTCTGATATTTTCAGTTTATGATTCAGCGCAAAAATCAGTAGCAAACTCAATTTTATGGGAACCGAAAAGATGATGGGAAAATAAACCCTAAAACATGAATGGAAAATAATGTTGCATCCACAAAGTCTGAATGGATGGATTAATTTTCATCAGGAATCAATTTGAAATACAATGGAGAAATCTACACAAACCAAATCAAAAACCTTCACATCCCATTCTGGCATTCTCTTCCCCAAAACAAGCAAAACCCATATTCCTCTCTCCAATGCCACGGAAATTCATCTCCATCTGCTGGCTTAAAATTCCTCCATATATCAATATCAAAGTCAATTAACCCGAAAATTTAATTCCCTTAAAAAAAGAAAAACACACACACACACTCAGTGAATAAGGTACGTGAGCACCAATGCTACCAACATCAAAACATATGCTATTCCTTGGTCTATTGTGGTCCCTGAAAAAAATCAACACAAGAATACTAACTTTAGTAAATATTTGAGAAAAGAAAAATTAAAAGCAAACGTAAAAAATAAACTATTATAGTGCTTTTTTTAATAGTCCAAATTGTAAAATATAAATTATTGAATAAAAGATAACTTCTAATACTAATAAGTTTTGTCTTATTTAATTATTTAAATTATATCATTCAAATTGCACAATATTTTTTGAAAGGATAATTTCTCTTGAAATGTCTAAATGATCATAATTAATGTTTGAAAGCGAAGAGTATCCGAAATATATAAGTCAATATCAAATATATAAAAACAAGACAAAAAATACAGAAAACTGGATTAATTACCGTCGCTTGTGGGTGCCGGAGCCGGAGCGGCAAATTGTGCCTGAGCCAGAGGCAAAGTGAATATGGTGAAAATAAGAACCATTACGGTGAAATGCACTCTGGATGAGACGGCCATTTTTCTCCTCTTTTCTTCTCCCTTCTCCGAATTTCTTTCAAAATTGAGAAAACTCCCTCTATAGAATAGGAGGAGAAAACAAGGGAGAAGAGATGGAGAGAGAGGGCCTAGGCAGCGCGAGAGAAGAGGCAAAGGTGATGAATATGAAAGGAGAAAAATAAGGCATTTTATAGCATTTTGCAGTTAAGGACAGTGCTCGCAAATGTGGGATCTACCCCGCATGACAAGGGGGTACACATAACCCATGTTACTATCTTGGTCTCCTTTCCTTTCTAAATAACTTCGAGTTGTACATTGAGAAAGAATTAGAAAGAAACAGCCTGTTTTTGAGACTACTGCCAGAATGGAATGTTCTGTATCTCAAGAATTTTATTTTAGTATTTAAGGTAAGAATATATCCGTTTCAGTTTTTTTATATCTTAAAATTAATTAAAATTAATTGTTAACGACCTAAATAATTTATTGATTATATTCTTTCATTGAAAATAAGATATGTTAAATTTGAATTGCATGACATGTGGGTGGGATGTGAGTGGGATGAGATTAAAAATAGAAGATAATTGTTTTTTATCATACAATCAAAATAAAAAAAATTAATTTTTTAATGATCTTAAAAATATACTGTAACATCAATTTGGTTGATTTAAAAAAATTAATTTTTAGTAAACTCTTGGAGCTTTCTCACAAGAAATTTGGATGAAGTTATTTATGTACTTTTCTTTGGATCTTAACTAAGAGTGTATAATAATAACAATCAATCATTTTCCTTATTTTCTAAGTTTCTAAACATTTAAACTTGAGACCAAACTCTTGTTTATTAAAAGTTAATACACGCCCATTTTGGGGGGTATATATTAGTTGATAATATTAAGTTTTTTTAAATAAAAAAAATGCCTATTTTGGTATTATATATTATTCATTAGTTTTAAAATAATTGTTATTTTTTATTTTTTTAAATTAATAATTTATATATAATAATTGTATTTATCTATAATATCCCTAACAAAGAAGTAAAAGATAAAGATTTTTCGTAATTAAATAATTAATTAAAATGAATGAATAATGATAGGATTGAAGTAAGAACAAATATTTATTTATCTTAAAAAAAATGACAATTAATTTAAAATAAATTTAAAGTAAAAAAATAAAAATAATTTTTAAACGAAAGGAGTAATTAATATTATTAAGTTTTTAAAATAAAGAAAATAATTAAAAAATAATTTTTACATACAACATTTTTTTAATGATAAATAATAGAGCCAGCTTTTCTCCTAATTCCTTGTCTCCCCACCTGGATTGAGGATTAGTCAGTTGCAAAGCTAACTATTGATTATATCACACCTTTACGAAGGGTACATTAGCAGAGGACTAGCATATTCCATTCCCACTACATTTATAGGCAAAGGTGAATCAAGTCTATTATTTCTATTAGCATTCATAATATAATTATATAAGGTAATTATCAATTTTATATATTATTTAATGATTAATTTTTTATTTTATTAATATATATAATATTATATGTATTTACTAATTTAAAGATATGTAAAAATTGTTTTAAAAAAAATTGAGGCAGTTTAGAGAATTATTTGATCGAATCTGCTATTAAGTATGAGGCATAGCATCAATTATATTATTGGACAACCAAGATTCCAAAAAAGTTCAAAGATCCAACCCCTCATGACTAACTCTAATATAAGGCTGTATATTAAAAGAAATGTCATATATTTGTGGTCCTACAATGATTGTAACTTAATATATTCATCATCACGGTCTTCCTCCTCATCCTGAACCAGCCTGCGTTGAGATGATACAGCCACAGCAAGTTTCTAATTTTTAAATGATCAAATCACTTGTATCATACTTTCAGCGAAGACTGACTTTCCTCCTTTATATTTTCTTCTTAGGAAAGAAATCCCACCTCAAAATCATTCATCCAAACACAATCTCAGGCTTTGACCGCTAAAAATCATTCAGAACAGACAATCGAGAACCAAATATATCTACTTCAAATGCAATGAGGGAAATTTACAAGAACACCATTATCTGGGATTGGATATATCCAAAAGTTCATTAAAAAGAGGCAGGGCTAAGCTGGTATACCTTGTGGAAAATTTACAAAAACACCATTATCCGGAATTTACCGGAAGGCTTTTGACTTCAGATTTGTGTTATTCATAGAACTGTACTATACTAATGAGGAAAATATGGATCTTCTTTGTTCTTGTAAATCTCAAATAGTTGCCTGGAATAGCGAGCTGCAAGTTTATAGCGTACGTCAACACCTTGGGGGTCATATTCTTGCAACTCCTCAACAGATTTCTTCACATCGCCAGAGGGGTCATCACCAGTGAGATAGCAAGCCAGATTACTTCCCCTATAATATGGAGAATAGAAAACTTAGAAAACTTATATCAGTTTATGCAAAGCATTACCCGAGTACATCTTACACATGAAGGACTAATAAACATTTAAGGTGAACTCCAAAAGTATGGCAATTTTTCATTATGTTCCTTGAAAGTAGTGAATCTGCAGAAGGATCATAAAACAAGATGGATGAAGATGCAAAAAGTTATCAAAGGGAGGATATTATAGAGTCGAACAGAAGGCGAGTCTAGTTCGAAACAAATGGCAGCTGTAAGAGACAGGATTTCCAAGTTATGGAAAACAATAGAAATTCTACAAGTTCAGAATGGAGAAAAAGCTTAGATTCAGGTGTTTAATAAAAAATCCTTTAAGCCAGAAAATTTGAGTGGAAAAGTAATGAGGTAAGTTAATGAAAGAAAACTGGCTCAATTTATTCAGTGCTACCTACACTGGACGGAACAGTGGCAGAATATTGTGTTTCTCTGAAGGAAAATGGCATTATGCAACCATCCAATGATAACAAGCAAAGAAATAAAACAGGTTGATTTTATACCACAACAAGGTCCTTTTTGTATTGCTGTCTACAGATATAGAATCAGGAAAGACGTACTGAAGCATTCAACTTAATACCTGGGGACATCATATTTGTTAAAATCCTGGCCCTGGTAATCAATGTTTTCATCATGATAAAAGGTTTCATCATGGAATGAGATTTCATCAAAGTAAAAGGTTTTATTATGAGCTCTCTCTTTAGAAATGTCCCGACTATGGATAGCACATACACCCTTCATGCACAGATTGGGATCTTTACCGAAGTCACCAAGCATGTCTGCCTCATCCTTCCACTCTGATCTACCATCTTTTTTCCTTCCCATGGTGGATAAAACCTTAATGAAGTTCACTTCACCATCTGAACCATCTTGGTACTCGCTATGAGTACTGCCAGTACTATTTGAGATATCTCTTGACTCATTATCTTCATTCTCACAATCTAAATCATCTTCCAACCAATTGGTTACATCATCGCCATCAGAATTCTTAGAATCATAAAAATAAATCCATCCATGCTGTCACTTTCATAATCTAATCCAACTTTATCTGAGTCATCATCTCCAACATTCCTGCTTGTAGAGATTCCTTGCTGCTGTATGGTTCTAGTGACCCACCTTGAAGAGCATTTTTTCTTCCTTCCTTTTTCTTCAAATTGTCTCAATGATATACTATCCTACGCCTAGTAGATGTCAGAGTGCCTCTGATATTTGCAAACCCACGAGGAGAGGCAATTGCTTGATCAGGAATTGTTTCTTTACGCCACATTTCACAACAGTTGAGAGATTTGTGTCTTATCTTCAATGTCACTCTCAGTGTCGCTAGTAACAAGATTACAGGCTTTTTTTTCTCTTGCAAGTTGAAACAACTGGAACATTTTCTTCAAAATCATCTATGACGGAAACAAATCCGGTCATCAATTCTAGCAATCCCCACTCGTGAATTACGGTAACAAGACTCATCTTGGCAACTATGTATTTTGTATTATAGCAGCATATCAGTTACAGATTATAGCAGCATATCAGTTATCGATTTAAATCATATATACTCCATTATTGTATATATCTTTAGTTTCCTTGTGTAACTACAAACACTTGTATATATTTGGTTCAGCATTATGAATACAAATCATTGTTTTCCAGTTACAAAGCTTGTTCCAATAGTGGTATCAGAGCCAAAATCTCAAACGAGACCAGTACTCGACAACCATGGCTGAGGAAACACCCAAAACCACAGAATCTATCCAGTCAAGCAATGGCAAAACTGTGATAACCACACCTGCTGTTACCAACACTAATAGCAGTTCAAACAACATAATAGCTTTCGTTGCTGCCCAATTTCTAGTCAAACTCACCTTCGATAATTACACCATGTAGAGCCGACAATTCACATCATTGCTTTGAGTTTATCGACTGACTGATTTTTTGCAGGGCACCAGGCCATGTCCTCCAGAGGATGACTTACCCGACTCACCATATGATTTATGGGTGAGGCAAGATCAATCAATACAACATGTAATTCTGACTTCAGTGTCAGAATCTATCCACCCATACGTCTCTAGTGCTGAGACGTCACATGAAGCTTGGGTGATTCTTGAAAGGCTTTATGCAAATAGCTCTCATACAAGAGTAAATGCATTGAAAGAAAGGCTACAAAACCTTCGATGTGAAGGTCGAGCAGTAGCAGAATATCTTCGTACCGCAAAAATTCTGACTGATCAGATTGGAAACACAGAAAAGGTATCTTTAAGCAACTCTGATATTCAAGTTTATCTTCTTAATGGTTTGGGATGTGAATACAGGGAATTCAAGGCTTCAATTCGAGCCCGTGATAGACCCCCACTGTCATTCGAAGATTTACAAGACAGACTTTTAGCTCATGAAGAGTCCTTACAAAGAGAGGAAGCCCTTGTCAATGATAATAATACACCCATTACAGCACAATTGCTTTTGTGCATCCTTGCATAGTTGGGAACCACAACAGCTATGGTGGTTTCAGTGATCGAAATTCAGTAGGTGGTTATCACAATTCTAAAGGACTTCAGGAATACTCAAACCGACCTTATAGACCCAATTCTGCATCTGGCACCAACCAATATGTTCCAATGGGCCGTGGAGGAGGCCGAGGACACTGTGGAGCTCGAGGAGGAAAAAATAATCGGAATTCCTTGAACAGGTATAATAATCGCAATACTAATGCCTGTCAATTGTGCAACAATTTTGGACATTTTGCTAGGGACTGTCCAGAGCTCAAAAATCATGCCCGTGTTGCCAACTTTGCTACAACTTCCACTTCGAAAAAGGGTGATTGGTGGATAGATTTTGGAGCCTCTGATCATGTTACTCCAGACTTGGCAAACCTAGCACTTCACTCAGAATATGACAGGCCTGATGAACTGCTAATTGGTGATGGATCAGGTTTGACTATTTCACACGTGGGTCACACCACACTTCCAACCAACACTAAGCCTTTAACCTTAAAAAATGTTCTGTGTGTACCTCATGCCTTGTGTAACTTGATTTTTGTTTCCAAATTATGTTGCAATAATAATGTGTTGATTGAGTTTCACTTTGAGTATTTTCTTGTGAAGGATCGCACTACGGGGGTGACACTTTTTCGAGGGCCCAATCAACATGGCATGTACTGGCTACCAATTCAAAGTCCAATTAAATCAAATCCAATGGCACTAATTGGTGAAAAATGTCCATCATGGATTGGCATGCAAGATTGGGACATCCTTCGTAAAAAACTCTGAATAAAATTATTAGAAGTGTTACTCTGCCGCTCTCTAATAAATCTAGGTCTTCCTTATGTGAGTCAGGTTTATGTGCCAAAAGTCATAAGTTGCCTTTTGGAGCGTCTTCTATTTCAAGTAATAAACCTTTGGAAATAATATTTTCAGATGTTTGGGGCCCAGCTCCTTCAATGTCTTTTGATGGTTTCCTTTATTATGTGATTTTTGTAGATTTATTTAGTCATTACATTTGGATCTTTTCTATCAAACGAAAATATGAAGTTGCCTTAATTTTTCAAAAATATCACTCTTGTCGAAATTCAATTTGGAACCACAATTAAATCCTTTTATTCTGATGGTGGTGGGGAATATCTTGCCTTACGTGATTTTTTCCAAAAGAATGGTATATCACACTTTACTACCCCACCTTATACACTCGAACTAAATGGGCTTAGTGAACGTAGGAATCGTCACATTGTCAAAACCGGTTTAGCTCTCTTACAAGTTGCATCCCTTCCGCCATGATTTTGGAGTCATGCTTTTACAACTGTTGTGTATCTCATTAATCGTCTACCAGGACCTACTTCCACCTCCCTTTTTGAAAAATTATTTCATGTCAAACCTAATTACCTTAAGTTTCGAGTTTTTGGCTGCACCTATTATCCTTGGCTGCGCCCATACAACTCTAATAAGTTACAACCTCACTCTCGGAAATGTGTTTTTCTCAGGTACTCTATTGATCACCTTGGGTATAAATGTTTTGATCCTTCTACTGGCAAAATTTTTATTTCTCGGCATGTTGTTTTCAATGAGCATGATTTCCTTTTCCACAAGCCTCCTCCCCTTACAGCCGATACCACGGTGTCTCAGGCTCGTCCTTAAGCAGCAACCCCCAGTGTGTCCTCCTTGGAAATTAATCAGGTATGCTCCCTCAAGTCTTCCCCTAGTTCTCATTCGACCCATGACCTTACCTCTTCACCCATTCTCTTACCGGCCCACCACTCCACAACCCCACCAATTCAACATTGTTCTCCCTTACGGTCAATTGCCCAATCATCTCCATCCACCAAGCCTGACACAAACTCCATGTCTCACCAACCTACTTCCACCTTGCCTTCATCTCCTGCCACCAGCTCACAGCTTATGCCCACCAATGCTACCTCGCTTTCTCCCTCTTCCAGTGCCACCACTGACTCACCTCCAACCCCATAGCCACCACCTGTACCCTCCCGCACTTATGGCATGATCACAAGGTCTCAAAATAATATCTTTAAACCCAAGACCTTATTCATTATGACTAACCACCCAATTGATCCCCCTCTACAACCCACTTATGTTAGTCAAGCCTTGAAACATCATCAATGGCATCAAGCTATATCTGATGAGTTTAATGCCTTGGTAAGATAGGGTACGTGGGAGTTAGTTCCCCTTAGTAACCATCAAAATGTCATTGGCTGCAAGTGTGTGTTCCGAATTAAACGTAACAACAAAGGGAGAGTGGAAAGGTATACAGCTCGTATTGTGGCCAAAGGATTTCATCAACGACTTGGTTCTGATTACTTTCATACTTTCAGCCTTGTTATTAAACCTATTACTATCAGAATTGTGCTTTCTTTGGCACTTAATCAGAATTGGCCCATTCGTCAACTTGATTTCAACAATGCTTTTCTCCATGGGAAGCTCGAAGAAGAACTATTTATGGCCCAACCACCTGGGTTTGTTGATGCTAGCTTACCCCAGCATGTTTGCAGGCTTCGAAAATCTATATATGGTCTGAAACAGGCCCCTCGCACTTGGTTTAAAGAGTTGAAGATGTTTCTGCTTTCTCATGGGTTCCAAAATTCCAAATTAGATACCTCTCTTTCTATATATCATCGTGGCTCCGATTGCCTATATTTTTTGGTTTATGTTGATGATATTATTGTGACTGGCAGTAACCCGAAGTTAGTTGATTTGTTAATCAAGTTAATGGGAAACACCTTCTCTATTAAAGATCTTGGTGCTCTTAATTATTTCTTGGCTGTTAATGCCATTTTCACTCCTGCAGGCCTTTTTCTTTCACAGGCTCAGTACATTCGTGATTTACTGGATAAATTTGGCATGGTTGAGGCTAAACTGGTTTCCTCTCCAATGGCTACTGCTGCTTTTCAATTGCACCAAGGTCTCAAACTTTCAGATCCTTCTTCGTATCGGAGTTTAGTGGGGTCTTTGCAATATCTTAATCTTACTCGGCCGGATATTACCTTTGTTGTCAATCGTCTTTCCCAGTTCCTTCATGCTCCATTTGATGTGCATATGCAGGCTGCCAAGTGTATCCTATGTTATCTCAGAGGGTCTGTCTTTCATGGACTTCTACTCCGCCGGCAACTTCTGTCTCCTTTTCATGCTTTTTCTGATTCTGATTGGGCCGGTGATAAGGATACCCTTCAGTCTACCACTGGCTTCCTTGTGTTCTTGGGTAGCACTCCAATTTCTTGGAAGCCTTGTAAATGAAAGGCTGTTGCTCGTAGTTCAACTGAGGTGGAGTATCGTGCGTTAGCTACTGCTTCCTCTAAGGTCATTTGGGTCTGTAATATTCTTCGCGAACTGGGTCATCCTGTCTCTTCTCCGCCTGCCATATACTGTGATAATATTGGTGCCACTCATCTTAGCAGCAATCCCGTAATGCATACCCGCATGAAGCACATTGCCATTGATCTTCATTTTGTGCGTGAATTAGTGGATTGAAAGCTATTGCGGGTCAGTCACATCTCCACTGTCGACCAGCTTACTGATGGGCTGACTAAACCTTTATCCTCAGCCTGCTTCTCTCAATTGAAATCCAAGATTGGAGTTACTGATGGTAGCTCCATCTTGCAGGGGCGTATAACGGAAACAAATCCGGTCATCAATTCCAGCAATCCCCACTCGTGAATTACGGCAACACAATCCCCGCTCGTGAATTACGGCAACACAATCCCCGCTCATGAATTATGACAACAAGATTCATCTTGGCAACTATATATTCTGTATTATAGCAACATATCAATTACAGATTATAGCAGCATATCAGTTACCAATTTAAATCATATATACTCCATTATTGTATATATCTTTAGTTTCCTTGTGTAACTACAAACACTTGTATATATTTGGTTCAGCATTATGAATACAAATCATTGTTTTCCAGTTACAAAGCTTGTTCCATTATCATCCACTTTTTCTTCATCTCCCTGATTATCAATTGCCCTGATTCGCTTTTCACCATCCTTTCCCTCTAATGCACAATTCGTTAATAAGTTGCAACTTCTGTATCCCCCATAATTCAGAGAAGGTAGTTTGGGTTTATCACCATTGTTATGAACATCATCTATGCTAAGTGCAGCAGGTCTTGCACCAGATAGAGTGGTTAAATCAATCTTTTTTATGGGTTCCCTATCCTCTTCATATACAAATTGTCTTCTAACTCCTTCATCACAATCCCTTTCTTCATAATCTAAACAGCCACCTGACTCACCTTCCATATTATAAGATACGTTGCTGCCACAAAATCAGAACAGAGAATTGGAAATAGAGGTTGTTATAACCAGCTAAACATCACTTAGTTAGGAATTTAAATTCCTCTTTCTTCTTAAAGATTATTTGTGACGAGCAAAAGTATGCCAGCAATTTAGTAATTCCCAAAGTAAAATTTTACAGGCATAACTGAGATGCAATTCTTATATATAATCTAATGATTTAAATATATGGATAGCCCCCAAGCAATGCCTGAATTGGTTAAAAACTTCAAATTCAAGCGTGAAGCTCTCATGTTACAATCTTGGGTCAAGTTGGGAGGGATTTGAGAAATGAGAGTGTGATGTGTATGGTACTTGGACCTTCTAAAGCTGGTATAACTTAGTAGGAATATGAGCAGAACAAAAGGAAAAAGGAAGGGAAGGAAGTCATGGATACATTCTTCTTGCAGGTCTCTAACTTCTTTATCGGGGGAATCATTTAAAGATGCTGCATTTTCTGGCAAAATATGATTCTTGTTCAGTATGGAGACACATGATCCTGCTTCGGCTTTCCTGCAACTCTCCTCCATTTTACTGCAATTGCATTCTTCAAACTCTTTTTGCAGTCAAGTTTCGATTTTGCGACTCCCTTTTCACGACACTCAAAAAAAATTTATCATCTCCATGTTTCCTAGTAATTCCCAAATGGGTTCTTCGGAAATTTGATCAAATAAAAAACCCGTAAAAATCAACAATGACAAGAAAAAGCGAACTCACATCGGCCAAGCAGCAAAATGAAGACTTGTTCATCCCGCTTGGTTCCCAAGAAAGTAACAGGAAAATAAGGAAATGCTGTAACTTGAAGTACTTCTTGGTCAACGACTTCACGGTAAGGCGTAGTGGTACATGCCAGTTCAGGGTTGGTGAAACTCCTTAAAATTAGCCCTCCAATTTATCCTTTTTGCACGGCTTAAAATTGGAAGTGTGTGAAAGTATGGAAGTATGATACGTTTTAAGAGTAATTAGAAAGTTTATCCTGGGAAACAATCGCCAAAAAGGAGAAAATTCTATGTTCATGACTCAAGAACTAGGATACAATTACAGGGAGGACCCAGACCTCATCCACTTCATAGATGCATATGTTGTTTCCCTCAAGAACCGAAGAATCAGGCGCTGGGGCTAGGGACAAGGAATTTGACGTGGGTAACATGAAACAACTCATGGGTTGCCTAGGTAATATTTGATCTAGTTTAAGCTCTACTTTTTCATCACCTTGCTATTTTCCTTCTGTTTCTCAGTTCTGGCTAGTTCGTTGGTAAAAATGACTAAATGAGTCAACAGGAAAATGGAAGCTGAAGAGTAGCGCTCAACTGCCTTCGAGCGCCATGTTCAATGGCATCATCCACCTGAGTACCAGAATTCAGGAGAAAAAATGCACATCAAAGACGTTAGGAATTCCTGTTGAGCTACTAGGGTGCCCTGAGATGGAACCAAACTCAGGATTTTATAGCCAAAAATTATCAAAACAAAAACAACTGAACCAAATATTCCCTTTGCAATGGCCCATGGGAAACAAGATCAAGAGAAATATCCATACGTCGAACATTATTCAAAAGTTTGTACTTTATACACACACAGGCAGAAGATCCTACTTCATATATGCATAGACAGGCTGGCTTGCTGGATACTTTTGTAATTACATATATATGCAAAAAGAGGAGGCACCTAATGGTACCTACCTAATAGAGATTGTTCAGGAACACCATCACTGGAATCTACTTCATAAATGCATAGACAGGCTGGCTTGCTGGATACTTTTGCAATTACATATATATGCAAAAAGAGGAAGCACCTAATGGTACCTACCTAATAGAGATTGTTCTGGAACACCATCACTGGAATGTACAAAAGTTTTTTACCTCAGATTTGCGGGTAAACTGTAAACCTGTCCTTTATGAAGGAAGAAAATAAGGATCTTCCTTGTTCTTGTAGATCTCAAATAGTTGCTTGGAATAGTGAGTTGCCAGTTTATGGCACGCAGCAACACCCTTAGGGTCATACTCTTTCAACTCCTTCACAGATTTCTTCACATCGCCATGAGGGTTGCCCTCAGTGAGAAACTCAGCCAGAGTACTTCCCCTATAAGATGGAGGACAGAATTTTTAGAAATATAATTCAACTGATGCAAAGATTCCAATGAAACCAAGTTACTTAAATGGTCACTTCCCTCAAGGCAAGATACTTAAAAGGTCATTTATTTAAACATGTAGAAGTGTACTGGAATTAGACAAAAACTAAAAGGTTAGAAGAAGAAAAGTGATTGTTAGGGCAAGACAAGTTTGAAGAAAATACCAGACATAGGAGAAAAAAATTCCCCGTTAAGAAAAACTAACAGGACTTTTTCTCCAAGTTCAGAATAGAAAAGCTTAGATTCAGGAGGTTCCATAAAATTTGAGTGGAAAAGTGATATAACTTGAGTTAATGAAAATATACCATGACGTTGACATGACAAATTCAGATTTCTTTCAACAGTCATAAAGTTAGTCAAAAACACAAACATTAAACCAACTACCTGAAGGCATCACATTGGCTAAAACCCCGCCGGTTATGGGCAAGGGTTCCCCTACAAACTTGTTCTTCACGAGTTTGCTGCCGATAGAGGGCACAGACAGCCTTCATGCACAGTGTATCATCTTTGCCAAAGGCAGCAAGCATGTCTCCCTCAAACTTCCACTCCATTTGACCATTCTTTTTCCTTTTAATTGAGGATAAAAGCTCATCAAAATCCACACCATCTGAACAATTTTGTGACTCACTATGAGTGCGAGAGCCACTTGAAGCATCATCCAAGTCAGATCCATCGGAAGTGTTATCATCATTGGTACTATGAGAATCATTGACAATAAATCCACTCAAGCTGTCACTATCATTGTCAGACCCAACTTCTTTTGAGTCCTCATGTTCAACATCCTCAATTGAAGAGCATTTATCCTTTCTAGCATTTTCTTCATATTGTCTCAGTGAGACCAGTTGTCGCCTTTTGTGGTTCACGGTACCTCTGACGTTATCAACCCCAGAAGGAGTAGCAATCACTGGGCAATCTTTCAACTCAGAACTTGCTTGATCAGAAAGCATTTCCAGACGGCGCATCTTCATGACTTTAGAGATTGGAATTTTATCATTAACATCACTCTCTGAGTCACTAGTAACTACATTGGACGGTCGTTTTCTCTTAGGAGTTGAAATAACTGGACCATTATCCTCGCAGCTATCCACATTTTCTCCATTTCCATGATCACCATTTGCCTGCAAATTCTTTTTGCTGACCTGATTTTCTTCTAATGCTAAATTAGTTGAAAACTTCAAATTTCTATTCCCATAATTATTTGAACAAGACATTTGGACATTTGTCAAATCATGTTCTTCATCACTGTCATGAATATCAATTACATTGGGAGAAGCAGGTCTCGTGCCTGCTGTAGAGGGAGCCATCTTTTTAATGGGTTGTCTACACTCTTCAAATACCAAATGTCTTCTAATTCTGTTAACACATTCCAGTTGACGGTCTAAACAGACATCCAAGTTCTGTTTCTTAATAGAAGTGAACTGCTTATCAGGTGTGTCATTATAAGGGGTTGCTGCAACAAAACACCAAAACAGAAAAATGCAAATGGAGATTGTTTTATACAAGCTTATTATCACTCAATCCAGGAAAATAAATTTTCTTCTAAACCAAATTAATTTCAACAAACAAAGCATCATGCAGGCACAATTATGCACTTCAAAATAGCAATGATCATATTAAGGAATTAACTTTATCCTTCCAGAATACCAAATACAAATTTAAGTCAACAGGAAGAACAAATTCCAGCAAGGTAAGGCCTAAAGCGTAAAGTCAAATCCCGTAAAGTGTAAGCATAATATTCCCCCTTAATTCAAGGATGTAACACAGATGGATCTCCTAAAAGAAAAGGATTTAATAGATACCAATAACAGAACATTATCGATATATTAACCCCAGAAGTCATAGGTTCAAATTCCTCTATTCTTGAAATGAGAGTTCAAACTAGGAAATCAAAAGAATGTTCTTTGACCTCCTAAGACAAGCATGACTCAGAAAGAAATATGAAAGGCATCCAAAAAAAAAAAAAAAACGAAAAAAAAAAAAAGGAAGAAAGTAACAGATACCTGCTTCTTGTAAAGATCCTCCTTCCTCCTCCAAGTTCACCACTTTGTCCAAGTGGTTTAAGCTACTTTCCGCATGGTGTCCATCATCCGTCAGAATTAGACCCTTCTTCAGCTGCAAGGCCAATGATTCCAACTCCTTGCACTTTTGCTTCCAAACCTCAACGTCACTTTCAGCCTTTTGCTTCTCACATTCCAAAACATTATTCTCAATCATAAGCTGCAAAACCCTACTCTCATCCTCACCCCCCTGGGTCAAATCAACCACTCCTTTCCTCACCTTCTCTCCTCCACAACCAACTTTGCTCTCATTTTCCATCTTCAAACCCCTCAACTCATCCTCAATACTAAGTTTCTCCATTTCCAATGCCCTAAGAATAGTCTGAAGCGCTTCATTCTCATTCTTGACCTTTCCAACTTCCAACTCCAACTCCAAGCATCTTGCTTCAGCTTTCCTGCACCTCTCCTCCAATTCATTGCACTTGCATTCTAGAAACCCTTTCCCATCAAGTTCAAATTTTGGGACTTTCTCTTCCACAACCAACAATTCCATCTCCGTGTTTATAAAGGCAACTACTTTATCAGTTTTCTAGATAATTCCCAAATGGGTTTTTCAGAAATTTGATCAAAACCTAGAAAAAAACAACTAAGACAAGGAAAAGCAAACTCACATCGACTAAAGAGAAAATGATGCCTTGTTCCTCCTGCTTGGTTCCCAAGAAAATCACGGTAAAGTAAAGCTTTGCCTTTGCAGAAGCAGGGGAGAGTAATTATCTCGGAAGCTCTACACTGGAAATAGAATGGAGAGTGGGTTGCCGATCAAAAAAAAAAAAGAATGGAGAGTGGGTTCTTCGAACTTACGAGCTTCTCGGTTACGTTTCACGGTAACACAGTTGGCAGCATCCGATTAAGCAGATAGAACTGAAACAAAGCGATGCCGTTTGGACTGCCTCAAATTTATCCTCCTCGCCCGAGTAACAAACTTGGACAAGGTCGACTTGCATAGTTGTTTATAGGTTAAAACCGCAATTTTTATATTTTTACTTTAATAAAAAGTGATTTTCTAGTCTATTTATTAAAGAAAATCTTTTTTTAGTTTTCAAAATTTATTATTTGTTTTATTTAGCATTTTTGTTATATTTTTATAGAGGTAATAAAAATTTTAAAGTAAACAAACTTAAAAAAGACTGAGGGATATAATTATTAAAATTTAACTAGGTAGTGAATAATGAGTAACGAATAGTAGATAGCGGTGGTAGTTAACAGATAACGAATACCGATAGTAGGTGGAGAATGGCAGATAGAGAGTAGATAGCAAGTGATAGTTAATAAATAATAGATGACGAATAACAAAAAGCAAGCAACAGAAAATAAATAACGAAAAATGGGTAATAAATAATAACTAACAAATTTGATTAATATAACTGTTTAGTTATATAATAATTAGCTATTGTTATTCAAAATTAGATGGTTGATAAAAACATGTTTAAAAACAATTAGTATATTTTTTTCTTTTTATATTTTTTATTATTAAAATTATTAATTTTATAAAAATAGTAAATAAATAAATTATAATAGTGTAATTATATATTAATTTTTATTTTTAATAAAGAAAAAATTATATTAACTTTAAATAAAGTACAAAAAAATCTTAATCCTTTCGTTAAATTAGCAATTTTTGTTTATTAAACTAATATATTTTTACGATAAATTAATGTAAAAATAAAAATATAATAATAACAACTTAATATTATTAAAAATAAAAATAAAAATAAAAATTAATTAAATAAGTACTAATTAAAAACCATAACAAAAAAGTACAAAATTTAGAAAGATAAATTTGTTAATAAAATTAAAAAATTCTAATCTGCTAGCAATTTGATACAAAAAGTTACCTTAGATAATTTTTTCAATTTATTAGCAATTTGGACTCTAATTGCTATCTGTTAATCTCAAACCATTAAATAAAAAGTTTTACTAAATATTTAATTTATAATAGTTTCAAAATAAATAAATTTATCAAACACATATTCTTAACAGTTTGAGCAAAATAGCTAATTGTTGCCTCCAAACCACTATATGTAATAGGTCTAAAAAAAGTCTCTTTTTGATCCTTTATTTTAATAAAAGTTCTTTTTTAGTATTTTTACTTTAAAATTTTTATTATTTAATGTATCATATGTGTAAAAAAAAAAAACTAAAAGAACTAAAAAAAGCTAAATAATAAATTTTATAGATTAAAAAAAAATTTAGTAAAGAAAAAATTTTTTTTATATGAAGAGACTAAAAAAATATTTTTATTAAAATTAAAAAAAAAAGCCAAAATAGAATTTTAACCTTGTTTACACATTCATTCAAGCCTTCAACTAGGTCTCAACTAATTTATCCCAAGTATGGATGGCAATTTCCTCCATGACCTGCGAAGCTTCGTGGAGATCCCCGCCACGAAAGTGAAGATTCCAAGAATATTCCTCCTTGTAAGGCGAGGATTGAGGCACTTTTTTTCTCATCAAATTTTGTGGGGAATTTCTTCCATCTCGTGAGAAACCATATAAAATAAAAAAATATATATATAAATTTATTTATATATATTTTGTAAATATATTAACAATTAAGTTTTACTTACCCAATTTAATTAACTAACCCAATACCAATACAACCTAAATTTCACAACCCATTCTTTTTTCAATTTTTCAAACCCAAATTGTCGTACCCAACCCATTCTTTTTGTGAATCCAATCTTCTTAAACCTCCTAATTGCCCTGCTCAATTAAATTGATAACCCTAGAAAGACTATCCAAAGCCAAAGATTTAATATTTGCTTGCCACTTACGATTCCTCAGTCCTCTAGTCTCTAGTCTCTTCTATTGCTCTACACTGTAACTCTTTCTATTTGCTCAATCCTCTGTCCTCAACTCCTTATCTCACTTGTGATTCCCTTCAAGATCAAGATCTCACCATGCCATCACTACCCATTGTGTTGTGCAACCACTACAACGCTTCTGTTTGCTCAATCCTCTATCCGTAACTCTTCATCTCATTTGTGATTCCCTTCAAGATCAAGATCTTGCCATGCCGTCACTACCCATTATGCTGTGCAACCACTGCAATGCTCATCACTCACCACTCACCTCTAGCTCTAAGTCTGGGTCATCCTTCTCAATCTTCATGTTCAAGCTCGCACTGTGCTATCACTACCCTTGAAATTGACAGTGGCTAGCTATTGCCTCAATTGCCTCCACTCCACTCACAGGTCACCACTCACCTTCAGCTTAGGTTATCCTTCTTCCTTCGCAGCTCTACCTCCAATTCCTAACCTTTCCAACTCCAAGCTCCAAGTATCAATTAGCTGCAGTTTTTGAAGCTATTGTTTTTGTGCTTTAGTGCTTATGATTTAGAGTACTGGAATAAATGATAGTTTTATTTGGCGGGGACTCCAAATAGCTGCGGGAACCTATCATTTCCTGCGTGTGTGGGGACATAGGCTATTTTTTACCCTCCTTCAAAAATCCCTATAGAGATCCCCGTACCCACCATTGGCGGGGATGAGGATGGGGAAGGAGTCCCTGCCTCCGTGGGGACCCATTGTCATCCCTAATCTTAGAGGAGATGTAAGTGGTTCACCAGTTTTTGGGGTTAGGGTGATCAACTCGAGAGTTCGGGTTTGGTTGATAATTCCGTCTTTGTAGACTTGTTAAAAAAATATATTTTTGACATGTTTAGTAAGGCATTCACTTGTCAATGACTTAAGTAATTCAGTGGTAATTTTTTTTTTGTTTGAAGTAAAAGGTCTTAAATTCGAGTCGCATAGCATGCGGGTGGGGTGAGATAAAGGATGGGAGGGGATTACCTCCCATTATGCAACCAACATAAAAAAAGAAAAAAAAAAGAAAAGAGAAGTAACGCGTTCACTTTATTAACAAGTACCATCTGGTTTGTAATTTTAAAAAAAATTGAATTTAAAAAAATTGCATGACAAAATAGTTTGGCTTGATTTAAAAAACTAAATTTTCCAACACATAAGTTGAGACGTAGTATGATTGATTATAATAGTTTGGTAATAAATTATATGCAAATTTTTTTGGAAACTTTTTTTGGGATTTTTGCATGGAAAGTGAGGGGAAAGTGAAGTAATCAATTATAAAGGAGAAATATTTAATTATATCATATATAATTATTTTTTTGTAATTAATTATGTCTAATATAATTAATTACCAAATTATTATAATAAATTATATTATAACTCAATTTTCATATCAAGAAATTAATTTCTTGAGCTAAGTTAAACTATTTTGTTGTGCGGCTTCCTTGGATTCTTTTTCTAGGAAAATTGCAAAGCAATCAACATAGAATTTCTTATTAGAAAAGTTATTAATAAACTAAGTTTTATAACAAAATTTTATTGAAATTTGTTAAATTATTAATTTTATTATGTTTTGTAAAAAATTGATATAAAGAAAAGTTAGAGGAGAAACCTTTTCTTTTCAAAATAAGTGTAAAAAAAATTTTACGAGTTAAACACATTGTATTAAAAAAATAAATAATTAAGATATTACTTTTACGCTCATTTTGTTGTAGTCTTAATATATAAATGTATGTAAATAACCTTATAAAAAAAAATTTTTAAAAATTTAGGGAAGAAAGTTTCCCCAATCAATCACCCCGTCAGGGTGACTCACCCCTATGTGCACCATGTACACATGCTAAAATTGTACCCAACCTGCGAATCTGATCTGCAAAACTGTTATAGAAATCGGTATGAGAATGGAGATTTTGATTCACAAGTTGACCCATTGACCCATATGAAATTTGTATCTTTTTTTCAGGCTAAAAGCCTTAACTCAAAGACAGATTGGTGAAAATCGTAACTCCGTTTCTTCCTTTCTTTTCGCTTAGCCACTGCAGATTGACTTATCCCTCACCTTCACCCTCACCAATTCTGATTCTTCATCATCCCTTGCCGATCAATTTTGTGTTTAACTGTTCTTCACTAGTTCATGAGTCTTGCTGCTATTTTGACTCAAAATGCCATTTGATGTTGATTAATTTGTTGTTTGTATGCAAAAGTTCGATTTTTGATTCATTAAGATAAGTGCTGGGCCAAAGAATAATCATGCTTGGATTTTTGTTGTAAAATTCAGCTCATGGTTTGCTTTTGTCTTGATCGGTGGGTGCCAGATTTTGCTGAATTAATTTTGATCTTGATTCTGATACTAATCTCATTTTTCAGTGATTATTTAAAGAGAACTATTTTGGCAATTTTCTTCTACAAATGCTTTCTCCTTCTCTTGTTATTTGTTTTTATGGTTTTGTTAATTGTACATTAAGAGTTCAATTATTGTATTTTTTTAATATTAATTAATATTAAAAAAATAAAAATTATTTTTTTATTTAAATAACTATCCAATCACTAAAGATAAAATTAATAATAATTTTTATATTTTTAAGTAATTAATATTAAAAAAATATAATAATTAGCACCCTTAAGTTAAAATGTGCCATAAAATAATATTTATGTGATTTGTGACTTTATTGTTGCTGTGTCCACATGTTTACATTATAGATCGTGCGGTTAAATATAGCACAATAAAATAATTAAAAAAAAAAAAAAAGAAAACAAAGGGTAAAAGGTGTAAATTTTTTTAAAATTTATGTAATTTATTACTTTAAATTTTTAT